TCAAGATTTTGGAAAATGCGGAACAATAATTAATAATCGAAGATATCCATTTGATTTTTCATGGTATTGGCAGTTTCATGGCGTTTACCGCATGTCTGTATGTCTATTCTGTGATTTTATATGATTTTTTGAACATATGCCGTTTTTGGTCGAAAACTCAGAAATCATGACGTCACTAAAACCTCGATATCTCAAAAAAAAAATTTCCGCCGATTTTTTTGAAACGTTTTCACAATAAACTTCAATCAATTTTCTACAGGTACCCAAAATTTGGCGCGCCTTCGGCGCGCCGTTTTTATGCTATGGCCCGGCGAAAGAAGTGGGGGCGTTTAACGCCCCCCCCCCCCTCCCCAGCAACTCGCGGGTTAACGGGGAGACAGGAGGAGATAATAATGGACGAAAAGCGATTCCATTGTTAGAGTTGGATGTATTAGGTGGAGTTACTGACTGCTCCAGGCTCTAATTAAGTGGGAGGACGTTAATGTGTTGTAAAATGTTCAGATCTGGTCCTCGGCTTCCCCGGCGTCTATCGGTCTGCTCAGACATCTGATCGGAAAGTATTTGGGTGTTCCGTGTCTTACTTTTTTCACCCCGATCCGTGATGTTCCGAATTTCCGATATTTTTTTTCTTTCTGGTTTTATCAATTTCGTAGTGAGTAAACCTATTTTGCCTATCAGGTATGTTACATCTATTAGTTTTTTATCGCGGAGTATACCTAATACAATTCCAAATAATTCAGTAAGTCTACATGATAGCTGAATGCGTCTTTCGTGCTGTGAACGTGTCGATATAAAGTTGATTTTAGAGCTTAATATTTTTTATTTTTAGTGAGTAGCGTCTTTTGGTTTCCCTATTATTGTTGTGTTTAAGCCTGTACATTGGCGGAAGCAATATTCTCCCATGCATCTGTGAGTGAACATTCCATTAGAAGTTTGGTTGAAAACTGGAATGGGTAAAGACTACCAAAACCCAAGTCACAACTCTCAAAACGTGCTCAATTCAATCATTCGCGATCATTGGATCCCAGTTTCGGTATTTGTCTCGTTGTCTGACAGATCGTATAATTCACATCAATCGAAGTTCGTATTGGTGGCTTTATACCGCTTTGTAACCCAAACGTCCGTCGACGCCACTCCGCTTTTGTAAACATTTTCCCAACTTGGACTAATGCTTGTTCGAGCTGTTGCAGTTTTTTTAATCCATCTGTCTTATCCAGCCATCCCAAATCCGGCGTATTTGGCCAGCTAATCGAGAATGCGAGAAAGCTAGCCCCAAGCGACTTCGAGGCTCAATGGGACGAAATATTTGGTGCAAAACCAAAGCACTGACTGAATATGAGTGATAGTATCATCAAAATGTTCCATAAAACGAGTCACCCATTACCTAGTGTTATAAACTGTTGGCAATTCTTTGCTGCATGGCTAAAAAGGTACAAGTTTGTCTGCTTGTTTTACTCTATTGGTTTATGATTTGTATGCTATCTTCGCCAGGGATGCCATTCCTTCCTGAAAAGATAGACACCACTCACCCTTGTACTAACTGCTCGCTGTGTCTGGGTTTCAAGGTTTAATCATGTATCATGCATCAAGTATCAAGGTTTAAGGTTTAATCATGTATCAAGGTTTAATCATGTATTTAAATACTGATTAAGAAAAAATGTGCATTCGTCTTTTTGTTCTGAGCTCTTCTTGTATCCCACCCCCACCCACCGGTCAGCGAGGGCATCTTGAAACCGGCGTAATCACCCATGGTGTCCGTACGATCCCGTCTCTCACCATAAGCGTACGCTCTTCAGTCATCATTTTGCATCTCTTTTCCAACCCTCCCTCAATCTCTCCCTTCTCTTTGTTCAGTGTTCACCCCTACATCATCTTACACTCCCACCTCCCAGTGTCAGAAATGAGGGGCTCTGGCATTGATAGTCCCCGTTGGCTGCTGTGGTCAGTTATTGCTACAAAATCGGGTCTCAAATATTGGCGGGCTCTCCGACCGGAGTTATATAACCGGGACCAAGACTGAAAAATGAGAATCCCAACACTCTTTCCCCAATGCACAGTGGGGATTTTTCCGATCTAGCACGTATTTATTCGTAGAGGGCAAACCATAGGTAGTATTGTAGCCAGATTGTGCACAGATGTTGGCTGGTGTGTTCTGGTGAGAGTGTTACCTGTAAATGTGCATAATCAACATAGTATAGGGGGGTCAATTGGACCCCCGGCTCAGCCGTTTGGCCCCTGATCAAGCTAGAGCTTCGCGGAAAAATCAAGCGTGCTGTCTATGACGAGATGAGGCCGAATATATCCAATTTCAAAGTCCAAAGTCATTAGTTGACTTTCCAAGTCAAGTCAATGACCCAACTTAAGATGGAAAATCGAGACCTATTGGAACTTCATAAAGTTAGGATGTTACGGGGTATTTTGGGGTGCTGATCACGAATTTCATGTTAGTTTTGATCACAGACGATGTCTTCATGCATTTAATTCAGGTCGGGTCAGGTCAGGTCAGCCAGTAGACGTCCTGCCGGCCATCCATAATAGGTGTCACCTACTACTGACAGCTTCGTAACATGGTACGAAGGCACCAGAACTACTTCGTAAATATTCAAATGGTTGCTAAATTCGAAATCAACACCAAAAACTACCCTAGAAGCAAGTAAAACTCGAAAAAGTGAACCAAGGTCATCAAAGGTCAATGACCTTGACCTGACCTTCACGTGACCTTGACACCCACCATAATGCATGGCACCAGCATCATTTCACATATTTGAACGTTTAAAACCACAAAAAGACTGGAAACCGCGGATAATGTGAGCTGGCATACGCCGAATCGCGATTCCGGCCAAACATGGTCTCGAGAAATATGCCACAGGTCAAACGTCAGTTGGGTCAGAGTCATGAAATTTTTAGGTTAGATGTAAAATTGATGATCTCGAGGGCAACGAAAGTTTCGTCGCGATCGGCTGCTTTTTGCGCGAGTGATTTGATAAAACCATGGGGTTTTATCCGACCCCTTCCCCCTCCCCCTCCCCACTAGTGCTAGGGTTAATAAGGTTGCGGACTGCGGTATATATAATTTACGCCTGTCATCCTATTCCTCATGAATGTGTCTCAGAAAATATGCATCATATAAGTCAGGAAGTAAAATTATTCGCCCATGTCTGGAACATACCTATATCGTGCTGCTTACCCTAGCGCTCCTAGAGTGGGGTATTCAGATACTCTAATGCGAATATTCCGTGTTCAGGCAAGTTCCGGCAGCCAAACTAGGCGTTGTCTTGTGCAGGAGAAAGTGGCGAATTCGATAGGATATGTTTCGGAGTGGAAAAGTGTGGAAAACATTGTTGATTTCCTACTTTTATCTAGAATACCATTCCTTCAATATGGTGTCTGTAAGGGTTTTTTTGTAAATGACATTTTTGTGACCTTAGTAAGGTTGTGGCATACTTTCTGTTTGCCATTCCATTCCTAATATAGGTGCCTTTCAGAAGATATGCAACTTTAAGAACTCGCAAGAATAAAACCAACAGGACAGGACAATGAAATTGAGCCATACTTTCGGTCCTTACTGAGCCCATTGAGTAATCACGCATGAGTGTGAACTTTGGGCGCATTTTTCCTAGTCTTGCTGTGGACATACAGATAAAACAATGCCATATATGACAAATTCAGACATTTCTTAGGACGTTATGGGCGCAAAATGACCTAAGTAGTCGGCGCGCCCTAAAGCCCCAATTAACAAACAAACAACATTTCTTAGCCCCACTGACACATGAAATAAACAAAAACCCAAAAAAGATTTTTTTGAATTAATAGGCGCTAGATCGGAAAAATCCCCACTGTGCAATGTCTCAAAATTGTTTTCCCGCTTGGGTGTCAACGGGGGAAAATTGCCAGCAAAAAGGGGATGAAAGTGGAAAATGGCAGGTCAGATAAGGCTTAAAAGGAGTGGAAAGGGATCCAAAACATAGTTGTCTATACGAGTGCTCTAAAATGATGTAAAATGGCTGTACTCGTATTCACAAATTAATTTTCTCAGTAACGTCAGGAATGAAAACTTGTTTTTAAATTTTGCTGGCGAGAGTGCAAAACTATTTTCATATGGATGTCGTTTCCCATCCAAATCAAATACAAATATTGTTTATTGTTTATTGTCACAGTAGCAAACCAGATCCGCATAAAATGGGCTATTCCCTGGTCGTTGTCAGTAAACACTTCATAACGAATATTAATACATACTTTACGGTGCGTTCACTGGAGATTAACCGTGCGTTAATTCGAAGGTAGCCGTGCACCAATTTAAATTGGTGCACGCTCGTGCAGTGATGAATTTCTCGACTGAAGTTTTTCGGAAGGGTCATTGACTTTCTTCTAAGAATTCCCATAAAAGGCCCTTTTAATGACATGGACTAAGATTAATTTTAATTTAAATTCGCACCGTTAAGCATGTATTAATTAGTTTAACACATGGTTTCCGTGCATAAATGGTTTTAAACGCACTCGTGGATGGAATGGAGCACTCGTGCGTTAATGCACTCGTTTCACTCGTGCATTAACACACTCGTGCTCCAATCCATCCACGTCGTGCGTTAAAACCATTTACACACGGGAAACCATGTGTTAATATATAACACACAACACTGTTAAAATCAAATACTGCGACACCTGATAAAACTTCTAAAAATCACCTTCTCCTAGCTATGATCATTGTAATCTAGAAAGCTTTAGATGCTTTTTGAATTTGAATATTGGGACACTGTTTTTCCCTTCGATGTCTCCCTGTACTCTCTACAACCCGTTCTTACGCCAATCCACCCCATTTACAGACTTCCTGCACTCTCTACAAGCCGTTCTGACGCCAGTCCAAACCCTTCTCTAACCCTGGGCGCCGATGACCACTGTAGTCCGGGCGCCCAAAAATCCCAATTCATCATCATCATCATCATCATCATCATCATCATCATCATCATCACCCTCTAACCCTCCTGTTCTGCTGTCGACAGGACGTCACGCCGATCCCGACCGACAGCACCCGGAGGAAGGGAGGCCGACGCGGTCGGCGTCTGTAGAACACCACCACCCCCTCCACTGCGGGAGACGGAGACTTACAGCATCGCCCCGCTCCTGTGGATGCTGCTGCTGACCACCTGCTGCTGCTGCTGCTGCCGTCTGACGTACTCTGTGGTGATGTAGAAATGGAAACATCGGCAAGGAGATGTGGTCAATACACAGAACGTCAGGCGGTGGAAACATACTGTGTGTTTCGGAGGAGAGAGAGGTAGATAAGGGATAGGGGATGAGATAGACTGAGACAGGGAGAGGGAGTGGAAATGGGACGACACATAAGACGGGAGATGGTTGTTACGTTACGAACGGAGGAGGTGAGGAGCAGATGAGGAATGCAAGAAGGCAGACGTAGAAAGAAGACCAAATATGCGCTGAAGATCTTACGAGCAGGAGCAGGAGAGGGTAAAGAACTCATTACAATGAAATAATGGTTTGCTTAGCTGAATATCGCGAGACTTACTCGAATATATTCGATAATTTTCACGACACAACACAACATGCTAGCGACGACCAGCGGGACACTATGTCAATATTTCGCCAGGCACATTGCATGGCAGCTTTCACCTCAGGTGTTGTGTCGTGTGCGAAAGAGTGACGGCATTGAAAGCACTACAGAACAACTGGCTTGTCGCCCTGCCCTGTGTCAACCACAAGTCATTATGGCTTTCTCGAGAACCTCCTTATACGACAAATTAAGTACACATGGAGACCACTTGTCGAATTGCTAGCGTTCGAACGTTTTAGCGGCACTCTCTAAACCATTGACCCTGCGGGACGAGTGAATACTGACTTGTTGAATGTTGACATTGTCCGTCGGCCGACCAAACGACCAACGCTTTGGAACCATTCAGGGTACTCCCAAAGGAGTTTTGCCGGGCGAAATGGACGTTCGGGGTCGGGGTCAATGGAAGGTCGGAAGAAGGCGCCGACAGTTCGGCTAGTGTGGAGACGTTGTTTGAAGCTATGGCAGCCCCTCAGGGTGTCGGCTGGACGGGCGATGGCCGAAAGATAGGTAAGTGCGTGGTCCTAGCTTGTCCCCTGTTGAATATTTTTTTCATTGCATTATTATTTTTCCAGAGAAGCTTCAATGGTTATTGTGCCTAAGTAACCGAGGGCAAAATACTCGTTATGTCCAAGATTATAAACTTGGCCAATATTACCAACTGAGCTAGTGGCAGAGGCCTCGAAATTTGGTACCGATATATGGTTCGTCCTTACCATCAGCATATCTTGTGATGTGATCCTTTTTGTGATGCGAAGCTTAAAACAATAAGCTTCACATCACAGTGCGATACACTTCACAGACTCGCCAGCCCGCTGTTCTATGTCCTCAGACGCCAGCCCGGCCGCGGGAGCCGGTCTCTCACCACGGGGCCTGTGGCGCCGGCTGCGGACCCTCGCCCGCATCTGCTCCTGGCTGGGACTCTGGCCGCTGATTGAGAACGAGGACGGCCTTCCTCGTCCCATTACCAGCCTTAACCGTCGCCTGTTACACGCTGGCTTGTTTATTATCCATTTACTAGCCTTAGGTGGTGTTTGGATCGTCATAACCGGCGCGTTCTTCGACACTAGCGGCATCTCTGAATGGGCCATGACTTTTAGAGGTTTTAGCAGCACTAGCGCTGTGGTGATTAGTGTTCTGATGGTATTCGGTATCGGCTGTTGGTGCCTTCTGGTACCCACTCTCTACCGCCGTCGTAAGGATATCAGTACTCTCCTGGTTCGTTGGAGTCGACTGGAAGCCGGGGCGGATGTTAGCGCAGGACCGCTAGACTGGCTGATACCGGTGGGTTTGGTCGGAGTCAGTGTCACCGTACAGGTACTGGAGTGGAGGTCCAACAGTCGTCTGCTGGGGATGGTTCAGGAGAGCTGGCTGCTCGACCTGCTGGTGGATCTGTGGTGAGTAGCGCTGGAATTTGTGAAATGTTGCCGTCAATGGTCGTAGGATGGCATTAGCCGAATTGTTTTCTAGTGGTTAGGGTGGGGGTTAGGGCGTTTGTTCTTTCATCATTGAATATTTAGCCTTGTTGAGTCTGACGAATTAGGTCACTAAATTGATCGGCTATGCCATACTTGGTATAACTGTCAGGCGTCAACTACCCCTAGGCGTGTACCTAGTTCGCTAAGTTGATCAATTAATTCTCGCCAACCCTTTCTATCGTTTCTGATTTTTTCACTGTCACTGACGTATCATATCACTGTATCTATCATTCACATTATTATCTGTCGCTAAACCTCTCAGCCGTCTCCCCCTTTCCGTATCCCCCACAGGCGCATCCACCTCTCTATTCTTTGGCAGTGGAGCGCGCTCCTTCCGCTAGTGATCCTCAGACAGGGAGCCCGGGAGCTGCGTCAGGTCACCCGCTGGGTGGTGACCGAACTGAGGAAGCCAGTGACCGAATCACAGCTGGGGCGGCTGGTGGGCGTCTATAATGAGTGCTGGTGAGTGATAAAAACACACTGGTTAGTGGTTATGGCGTCAGTTTCCGTATATACTAAATTATATATATATATATATATATATATATATATATATATATATATATATATATATATATATATATATATATATATATATATATATATATATATATATATATATATATATATTTACGAAAAAAAACCACACTTCGGAGTCGATCGTATATGTGCATATAAAACTAACAGTTTCGGGTCATCTCGACCCCTTGTCAAAGTTTATACACATTGCACAGAGCAACACATCAAGCGAGACATTATACAGATGACATCGATTTCTTTGCACACAGACACATGACACCGTTCAAATGGCGCTTCTCTTGTAAAACCTGGCCTTAATAATTCCGGAAATGACCTTGTTAAATGCAAAATGACCCTGTGACATGTTTATGTTTCTAGTCGTACTAATAAGAGCAGATTCTACAACACGGCGTTTAATGTAGTCATCAGAATGAAAGACAATTTTGGCCCTGTCGAAGTCCATTGAATGTTGGTAGTCTCTAACATGACAGAAAATTGCACTTTTGTCATTTCCCACGCGTATGTCTCTTCGGTGTTCATAAGTTCGTTTTTCTAAATTTCGTCCAGTTTCACCCACATAAGCCGTGTCAGGGCACTCTTTACATGGAATGGTGTACACACCAACACTCGCTCCACTTTTTGGTTTGTTTCGTATCAAAGTCTTTGATATAGTATTTGGGTATGTGAAAGCCACGCCCACACCCTCTTCGCGGCAGATATTTTTGAAACTTGTCAAACCCTCATTGTATGGCAATACTAAACATTTCTTAGGCACTTCACGTTTGTCTCTATGCTTAGTGAAGAAAGTTTTTCTAGCTGCCATGTGAGCTTCATGTATGAACCATTCTGGGTATCGTAACCCTGTAAATATCCGTTGGATATTTAGTAACTCATCATCTAGTGTTTCTGGGCTGCAAACTTTGTACGCTCTTAGATAAAGTCCCAAAATCACTGCCTTCTTGACACGTTTGTCATGAAAGGAATAGTAGTGAATGTAAGAGTTTGAATTTGTCGGCTTTCTGTACACTGAAAAGCGAAACCCTGATGAAGTTCTCTGAACGAGAACGTCCAAAAATGGGATTTTGTTGTCCTTCTCCCACTCTACTTTGAAGTTGATGCAAGGGTGTAGGTCATTCAGCTTAGAGAAAAAGTTGTCAAAGTCGCTGTCTTCTGGCCAAATGACAACTTTTTCTCTAAGCTGAATGACCTACACCCTTGCATCAACTTCAAAGTAGAGTGGGAGAAGGACAACAAAATCCCATTTTTGGACGTTCTCGTTCAGAGAACTTCATCAGGGTTTCGCTTTTCAGTGTACAGAAAGCCGACAAATTCAAACTCTTACATTCACTACTATTCCTTTCATGACAAACGTGTCAAGAAGGCAGTGATTTTGGGACTTTATCTAAGAGCGTACAAAGTTTGCAGCCCAGAAACACTAGATGATGAGTTACTAAATATCCAACGGATATTTACAGGGTTACGATACCCAGAATGGTTCATACATGAAGCTCACATGGCAGCTAGAAAAACTTTCTTCACTAAGCATAGAGACAAACGTGAAGTGCCTAAGAAATGTTTAGTATTGCCATACAATGAGGGTTTGACAAGTTTCAAAAATATCTGCCGCGAAGAGGGTGTGGGCGTGGCTTTCACATACCCAAATACTATATCAAAGACTTTGATACGAAACAAACCAAAAAGTGGAGCGAGTGTTGGTGTGTACACCATTCCATGTAAAGAGTGCCCTGACACGGCTTATGTGGGTGAAACTGGACGAAATTTAGAAAAACGAACTTATGAACACCGAAGAGACATACGCGTGGGAAATGACAAAAGTGCAATTTTCTGTCATGTTAGAGACTACCAACATTCAATGGACTTCGACAGGGCCAAAATTGTCTTTCATTCTGATGACTACATTAAACGCCGTCAGGCACGTATCCAGGATTTCGCTCAGGGGGGGGCGACAGCCGAGAAGGGCCCGGAGGTCAGCCAAAAGGGGCCCCACAGCGACTGCCTATCCTGGCGTGTAAAAATTCGAGAATGTCGAAAAAACAGCAAATTTACGATAGAATTTGGCATTGTAAATGAAAATGCATTGTCTTGCGTTTCTCGACCTTGATAACATGTTTGCAGTTAGCTTTCGTTGAAGTTCGTTTTTGCAGTTCACTTCCGTTGAAGTTCGTTAACCCGCGCCCGGCCGGGGGGGGGGGCTGTTTGAACACCTCCTCCTTGCGGTTTTGCGTGGATATAAAAAAGAGGGATGAATCTTATCTACAGATATGAAAATTTTACACCCAGGTCGCTCAAGGTCAGGTCACCAGACCACGTCAAGTCAAGTGACCTCACCTCAGAAAAGGTTAGAATGCTCTCCATAGCAACACCGACTGAACGATCGGCTTGAAACTTTTAGCGATTGATAAGAGTAACAATATGTATAAAATGATTATCTCGAAATTTGCATACCGGTGGTGACATAAGGTCAAGTCAATTTTTGCGCCCTCTCCATTAGGTTTTATAAATGGGAGAAAATCGAAAGGTGCCTCTTTTAGGCAAACGTCATCCTAGGCACCCTCAATCACCTGGTTACATAAAAAATGACAACCTAAATCGGAAATTTGTACCCGTGACCCCTCCTTATGTCTATGGGGTCATCTCAGGTCACGAAACGCCTCCACAGCTTT